TACGTTTGAAAGTGTTACCTTATTTTGAAACTACAACTGCTTCAAATAATTTTGTTAAAAAAAATGAATTTCAATATTTTTCATGAAAAGTGAACAAACGCGTGAATTCACCCAAAACATCCTAAAATAAAACTTAAAATCAGTTCGAGATCTAGGGCTACATTTATAGTTGTTTGACTTCAGGATTTTGGGAGGTGAGGTAAACTAGGGACTGGTGTGATATGTCTCTATCTATTTGCTTCGCATCACGGTGCGGAGCTATTAGTTTCAGTCGATATACACGCAATCTTGAAATAAGTACTTATCACATATAGATTCTGATTTGTTGCTTTATGATGTGACTGAGATACAGCAATAGCTATTGGCTTAAATGAGATAAAGAATTACAGACTTTTCTCGTCTCAGGATAAGACATCAAATGCCGGAAAATTAACTATGTGTATTTCAGTTCCGATCCACTGTTATTAATTCATGTTCGTTTTATTATGCATATATTGCACACCGAAATTCAATATTGAATTGTTAATACGTGTTTATTTGCTTTGTTAATCTGCAATATGCACGATTTGTGTGTGTTTTGCTAAACAATGTTTACAAAAATGCATTATCTGTTATTAATGTATTTTATAACTTCTGCCAATCTAGACACACCTCCAGGGAGGCACACCTCCAGAGTCGTGCTATTTGTAAATGCCTTGGTTTTGATTGTTGCTGTCTTCATCACTCGAAATCATGTTACTCTTAATCGACATCCCTAAACATTCATATATATCTAAATAAATTATATACAGAACTAGCAATCAAAATCGCAAGATAATGACCAGCTGAAAGAACTAGAAAACCACACTCCCCAAAAACACATTGACAACTAAACACTGAACAGTCAGTTTAAAATTTCAGAAAAGTTCATCTTAAAATATATACAAAAATTGATTTTCCAAGGCTAAGACATCCATTTTATATCAATCAATATTTAAAAAAACCTCATTCCTAATGCAATACTAAATCAACAACCACATGAACACATATTACCTTAAATTAGGATAGAACGAAGTAGTCCACAGCTTTTTAGAAAGTTCAAACTTGTTCAGGTATTAGGGAGGCGAGGTATAGCTTAGGCATGTGGTATGACATGTCGCTATCTATTTCACCTGTTATGAAGGCGAGGGTCAATTTCGGAATAGGGTATGCCATGTTACTTATGCCATGTCGCTATCTATTTCAGCTGTTAGTGAGGCGAGGTACAGTTATGGAATGTGGTATGGCATGTCTCTATCTATTTCATTTTTAGGGTGACGAGGTACAGCTGAAGAATGTGGTATGACATGTCTCTTTCTATTTCAGCCGTTAGGGAGGCGGGGTACAAATGAGGAATGTGATATGACATGTTTCTCTCTCTATTTCACCTGTTAGGGAGGCGAGGTACAGCCGAAGAATGTGGTATGACATGACATGTCGCTATCTATTTCAGCTGTTAGGGAGGCGAGGTACAGCTAAGGAATGTGGTATGACATGTCTCTGTCTATTTCAGCCGATAGGGAGGCGAGGTACAGCTAAGGAATGTGGTATGACCTGTCGCTATCTATTTCAGCTGTTAGGGAGACGAGGTACAACTGAGGAAAGTGGTATAGCTTAGTAATGTGGTATGACATGTCTCTATCTATTTCAGCTGTTAATGAGGCTAGGTACAACTAAGGAATGCGGTATAGTATGTCTCTATCTTTTTCAGCCGTTAGGGAGGCAAGGTACAGTTGAGGATTTGTTTTATGACATGTCTCTATCTATTTCACATGTTAGGGTAGGCGAGGTACAACTGAGGAATGTGATATGACATGTCTCTTTCTATTTCACCTGTTAGGGAGGCGAGGTACAGCTGCGGAATGTTTTTATGACATATCTCTATCTATTTTACCTGTTAGAGAGGCGAGGTACAGCTGAGAAATGTGGTATGACATATTATATCTATCAATTTGAGATGTTAGTGAGGCGAGGTACAACTGGATAATGTTGTATGACATGTCTCTATCTATTCCAGCTGATAGGGAGGAGAAGTACTGCTGTGGAATGTGACATGTCTTTATCTTTTTCAGCTATTATGGAGGCGAGGTACAACTGGATAATGTGGTATGACATGTCTCTATCTATTTCAGCTGATAGGGAGGAGAGGTACTGCTCAGAAATGTGATATGTCTTTATCTTTTCAGCTGATAGGGAGGAGAGGTACTGCTGAGAAATGTGATATATCTCTATCTTTTTCAGCTATTAGGGAGGCGAGGTACAGCTGAGGAATGTGGTATGGCATGTCTCTATTTAGCATCAGATGCCACATTCAGCACAGGAATTGATATCCATGTCTCAGGTGGAGCAGAGCTGAACTATGCTTGTAAAAACGTTAACACAAAGGAGTTCTGGCCTAATTCGTTCTTAAAGAAACAATGATTATAGCGACTTAAATTATCAAATGTTTTGGACGAAATTGTCTTTGATTCACTCTGTTGAATGTGTAAATCATCATAGATATTACATTCAAATTAGATATTTAGAATTAAATCTGGAGTTATTCTTATTGGATCATATGCAACTTTCGTTCTGCCTATACAAACTCAGTAAAAATACCAGGCTTATAATTTGATAAACTAGAATTATCAGTGGCGCTCGAATCACATCTGGTTCAAGTTAGTGCAGACTTCCTGGTTGTGGAAGAAACGACTATCGATCAAGTGATTCTAAAACCTCACTAAAGATCACATGCATATGGTTCGATACATCAGACGCGGGCTTCGTCTTCGTTAGACTCATCAGTGGCGCTTGAATCAAAACAGTTTGAAGGCCGAATAAAATACGGGTAAGTGGAGCATTAAAAACCAAAATTATTTAAAAGCTGTATCATAAACAGTTAATTCAATCCATGCATATTTCGGATAATTAAACATTTTATAAACAGTGAATTTATAGAAAATGAAGATATCTATAAAATGTCACGTTAAAAAAAAATCATACCTTTTTCAATTGATTTCTTATGTTGTTCTGTTACACCACTGTCCCAGGTTAGGGGAGGGTTAGGATCCCACTAATATGTTAAACCCCGCTACATTCTGTATGTATGTGCCTGTTCCAAGTCAGAAGACTGTAATTCATGGGTAGTCGTTTGTTGCTGTGTTACATATTTGTTTTTCGCTCAATATTTTGTACATATATTATGGCGTTAGTTTTCTCGTTTGATTTGTTTTACATTTGTCATTTCTGGGCCTTTTATAGCTGACTATACAACATTTGCTTTGCTCATTGTTAAATGCCGTACGGTGACCTATAGTTATTAATCTCTGTGTCATATGGTCTCTTGTCTCATTGGCAATTACACCCATCTTCTTTTTTATATAATATATTTAGTTGAAAACCATCAGGAACAAAGAGCAGTGCACAAACAATAGCACGGAAAACAGAAAATCCCACATTATAGGGTGACGTCAGGTGCTCCGGAAGTGTTGGCAAATTTGCTCTACATGTATCATCCAGCGTGTTGTTCATTTAAGTACAAACGCGATGATAAGTTTACTATTTGGGAAAAAAAAGGACTCGATTACTTGTGGTAATTATTTAAATCGGACCATATCCGTCGTCATATTCTAATATGAGTTCGTGTACAACCACTTGGTCGATGCCACTGCTGGTGGAGTATTTATTCCCCGAGGGTATCACCCTACCAGTAGTCAGCACTTGTGTGTTGACATGAATTATCATTGATATAGTCAAAATTATAAATTAACTGTTTACAAAACTTCGAATTTTTGAAATGTCAAGGCATTTCTACCTAAGGAATAGATTACCTTAGCTGTATTTGGCAAAACTTTTAGGACATTTTGGTCCTCAATGCTCTTCAACTTCGTACTTTATTTGGCCTATTAAAATTTTCTATCCCCTTCAGTGGACCGTGAAAACGGGGTCAAAACTAATTTGGCATTAAAATTGAAAGATCATATCATAGGGAACATGTGTACAAAGTTTCAAGTTGATTGGACTTCAACTTCATCAAAAAACTACCTCGACCAAAAACTTTAACCTGAAGGTGGACAGACGGACGAACGAACGGACGGACGAACGAACGAACGGACGGACGGACGAACGGACGCACAGACCAGAAAACATAATGCCCATAAACGGGGCATGAAAATTAAGTCAATTTTTGTACCGATATAAATGACTTTCAAAGATGTAAAGTGTTAAATTGGTATCCTTTAAAGGTATGCAACCGCTAATTTGTCTCGGTGAGGACTAACATATAGAAATGTAGCACACATTTCAAACAAAACAAAACTTTCAAAATAAGAAAACAATTCTGGTAATATTGGTTTGAAATGAATGCTTATGATCCTGGAATCACTGTTTACCCTTGCTGAATGTTTTATTTGAATAATAAAAGGTATGCTATTAAAAAAATAGAGAATATTTCCACTGTTTTGCAGATTAGAATAACCTGTGTTTGTATCTCATTATTAGTGACACGTTTTGGGGTCTTAGATCTCTAGCTACAAGTATACTATTGTAAATTTCATGCTTATATTGGTGATTTAGAATCTTTTAAAAGTTTAGATTTTTCTACTCTATGTACCACTTTGCACCATAATCGTATTGAAAAAAAAATCACATTTTGTAGTAACAACAAACAAACGAAGTGTGTCAATTGAACCTACTATGTTACGATAACTGCTCTCGAATTTTTACTAGATAACATGTGTGTTCGCTGTTGAAATTCCGGGAAATACGTCTTGTACCAGTAAACCACTGAAGCAACATTTTATAAATCAGCTGAAATTGTCTTGACCAGTCGGGCTGGTACTTTGGTGACACCAAAAAGAAAGAGATAACCTTGTGAAATGAACAATTTGGCAAAATCTATGACAAAACTGCTAAGAAATGGAATATAAAAAACTTATTGACTTGTTATGAAAATTATACTAAACAATATAACATTAAACAAAATTTTCATACATCAACTGGATAAAAATAGTCCCATACTAAATATGCACATGATGTTTGAGAATAATTTTCTTGTCATCGTGTTATATGTCAATATTTGATTTGCAACAATCGAAAACATGTGCTTACATATTCCATGCACATGAATGTAGTTTCATTTAAACGAATATGTCAATACCTTTTACAACAGATCGACGACATTATGTGCTATGTTCTGATGGTGTAACTGTCGCCATGAATATATTATTTACTTTACATTCTACATATACAAAAAATGTATGTAAGAAAGGTACCCTTTATGGAACCTCCAATCACATGAAATTAATAGATCTAAGCAAACATACGGAATCGAAAACAAAAAATTTCTTCTAAACGTACTATTTTAATGTGTAATTCATCAAATATAAAAGTGTATTTTTTTTAAGTCAACTGTTGAATATAGTATCACCAATTATCATAATAATCGTCAAAAATCAAATAATCATCGTCATCGTCATCCGAATCATAGTATCTAAATAAACTGTGTCCCTGTCTGGATTGAATTCGTGAAAGCAGAAATGCCTGAACCAAATCACTGCTTACGGACGTATGTTGCCTCACACTGAAAAACAAATAACAATTCAAGACTTGTAAATCTTTAACAGATATGTTCATTATATAACAATAAATATTATTAAAGTATATCATTGCTTATCATATTTATACAGTAAATATATATATGGCCTATTACATGTAAGAAAAATGTCTATATTTTAGCTTGGCAATTCAGAAATATAAAATGTCTTTGAATTGATTTCTTTCAACATGGCGACTCGTGTGACCATTTAAAAAGTGTAAAATAAGAAAGCAACCTCAATTACAAATATAAATGACATCACGGACTGTTCAAAAACAAATATGAAAACAAATTTTGTAATAGAAAAAAAAACAGTTGGCTTTTCACTTATTACCCATTTGAAACATTCAAAATATTTTTGAACGCCTCATTCATTCTAAAATGGAAAATATTTTGTAAAAAATGATTCCTTATATAAATGTTTGTGCAAACCGTGATTTAACTAAAAATTTATGTACCATTTTATAAAGAAAAAAACTTCCTGTGTTACACAAAATATTTGTTGTCATTTAGTACCAGTTCTTCCAACACAAACCTGTCAGGAGTAGTGCAAATGTTTACTCATTCCCACATTGGAACACACAGAAAAAGATTAACTTGTTTTTGTCTATCAGACTGCTTTTTAAGTAGAGATGTTGTAAAATAATCAACATTGCTTGTCGACTGTAAAGAGGACTTTTACGTAAACAATAACTTTGTTATTACAGTTTGTTTGCAATATACACATGATATAATTAGGATACCTTGAGACGATATAAGCATGTTTTAGTATATCGTTTCAGTTCATCCGATCACCTGTATTTGTATTGTAAAAAAATGATTTGGAGGAAAAAAGTACATCTAAGAATAAGATATCTTTTAGCACTTTCCGTCGGTAAGCTTTATCTCATATCTATATTAAACGGTAAGTGAATGAAATTAGTTTTTTTGGCTAATTTTGCAGTTCTACATGAAACAAAAGAAGTTTGCACCCTTAGCACAAATACGAGAAACATCATTAAAGAATATGAATATCAACATTAGACAGACATGTGAATATATGAAGGTTGTTAATTAACACATTGATTTTATATTTTCGAACTCAAAAGATTCAAAGTTGCCTTTTCAAACCTTCAAAGACTTATAAATTCATTACCTTCTATTTAATTCCAATTGAATTACTTCTTTGTCTTGCGCAAAATTCATCAGACCAAGGAAACATTTCATTTTTGCTGGAATCGGACGCAAATTTACTCTTGATTCAATCTCGGAATCCTCTGCTGCTACCAAGAGTTGCTGCCTTATACTTTTTCTGCATATGATTGATAAAGGCTTCGGACCTTTATCCAAACCATCGAGGAATGCTTTAAATTCAGATTTCCTTATTTCCACGTGTCTTTGCTTTCTTTTATTATACTTGATCTCAACATCTGATAATTCCAGTGATGATACATCGAAATTGTCGAACCAAACTTCCTGTTCGATGTCCCATCCACTTTGAATAAGATATTCTGCTGTTTTGAATAGTCCAATATTGATGAGAGTTAGAAGTATCGATCGGTAGGTATCAGTCTTGGCTCTCAAAATAAGATATAATAATTTTTGTAAAATGTTCTTAATCAAGTCATATCTCATCTAATCTAATCTATACATCTAATCTACTTTACTGTACTCTGCTCTGTTCTACTTTACTCTAGTCTTCTATACTCTACTCAACTCACCTGAATCTCTCACGAGTCTGTCATTCAAGTACTGCTTTTTAAAGATAATCAAAAATAAAAACGAAATAAAAAAAAAAACGAAACAAACATTAAATGGCACAAGAAATTAAAAAAAACAACAAAACAAATTAAAACCTAAGAAACAAAATTAAATACCGCGTACCTTCCTTGAGCATGTGGTATCTGTGTTTTGGACATTATGGAAGGAAGGAGATAACATCCGGCTCTAACAAGATAGTTGAATAACTTCATATCATATTCTAGTCGTGAACATCCATGACTTTCATCGTCCTCAATTGTACCATTTTCTGTAAGTATCTTCTTTAGTAATATGTCTATCGCCTTCTCGCCACTTGTAGATAAAACATTCAGCTTTGAACCATGCCTAACAAGAAGATGAACCAGCTGATCTCTCCCTTTTGATTTCTCTAAAAACGAAACAAAAATGTGTATGTTATTACGGTAAAAGCACACTCATTTGTCTTTTGTCTCATTCTGAAAAGACATTTCTGTAATTAATCAAAACCTATGCCTACATCAGATAGTGTGTATACATATTATCTCGTATTCAATCGGTTGTTTTGTAATTATATGGCATTTAACAATTACATATTGATAATACATTTATTAGTGAGTAGTTTTAATTTTCTGTATCGTATCCACATAGGACTTACTATTTTGAATTTTTATTTAATTTAACAATTACTATACCGATATGAACAAATTTAGGTGTGTAATTTAAGTAATATAGCCTGTGTTATCTCCTTTAATATAAAACATATACACGGATATGTCATATCGGTATAAAATTAATTAATAAGTAAACCTGAGCAATTGGTCTAATTAAGGACGAGAAAGTCCCGGTAACAATATGTATCTGTTCCAGATCATATGAGTATTTGGACCATACATTTGTACATTTGTACTCGTATGGTCATGACCATTTGGATATACTTACATGGTCCGACCATACATGTACCAAACATGTATGGTCGGACCATTATGAGTATTTACTCGTTTGGTTATTAACGGGCTGGACAACATAAGTATTTAAACCATATAGGTATTTATATATATAATTAAAAAAATATATCTTCCTTCACAAGTACACACAGCTCGGTCTCCAAATCAAAAACGGCACAAGTTATTAACTGGAATCCTTTATCTTTGACATATTATCTGAGCTTGGTATATTTGTTGTCTTGCCTTCGCTAGCATCAATTATAAGCGCCTTTATCCTGTCGACAATATTTCATCCGTAATGAAACCATATGCGTTTGGAGCATGGACCTTTTTTCCCCCCGGCCATTTAGAGTTTTTTTGATTTTTTTTTCTTATTTCCACTTAAGGTAACAATATACCAAATGGCATATCTCCCGATTTCTAGAATTTTGGCACATTTGTACTTTGATTCGAGTTACATCGGAATATGAAATAAATAAATGGGGAATGTGTCCATGGGACACAGATGATGCCCCATAAATAAAGAAAGGTAAAAGTGACACTACCCAAATTTGTACTTGATCTGAGTTTTGTGGTAATAAGCATTGTGTATAAGTTTCATAACATTTGGTTGAGGCAAACTTAAAACACTGGACATTTTTAATTTGCAAAACACTCATTTGCAAATTCGCCGACGCCTCTCCTTAGACCTACAGTGTCGTGTATTTAACCAAAATGTGCGGAATTACATGAGATTCAATAAATTCATTGCTTTTGTGCTGTTATTATTATATATATTTTGTAATTTGATTTAGAAAAACATGGGATTTTCAATATCCCATGGGATAGGGCAAATCCCATGGGATTGACCATTATCCCATGGGATTTTGGTTAAATCCCATAGGATTTGTTTGGGTCCCATGGGATAATTGTAGTCCCATGGGATATTTGTTGTCCCATGGGACAAAAAAAACCCATGGGACTATAATTATCCCATGGGATTTTTAATATCCCATTGGACAAAATAAAATCCTATGGGATTCAAATTATATCAAGAAATGATTGTAACAGGATGCTGTTACGAAGTCTCCCAAACGAAGCTCCCATAATTCGTAATTCCCAGGGTCGTCTGACATTGGGCAAAGACCAGTGAAAATTGGTTGGTAAAGAAATATGCATAAGTGATGCCTGGGGACTAACCCTGTATATCATTCAAATCATCTTGGCATGGCAAACCAGAATATATATATGGTTTAGGGGTGGGGATCTCGATCACTTTCAAGATACTAGAACATTGGGGGTGGGAGGGGGACCCCTGGGGACTGACCGTATACGTCATTCAAATGTTCGAGACATGACGAACAAGAATATATATGGTTTAGGGGTGGGGATCTCGACCATTTACAAGATATTAGAACATTGTGGGTAGGGGGAACCCCTGGGGACTGACTCTATACGTCATTCAAATGTTCGAGACATGACGAACAGGAATATATATGGTGGGGATCTCGACCATTTACAAGATAGTAGAACATTGGGGGTGGGGGGGAACCCCTGGGGACTGATCCTATACGTCATTCAAATGTGGGAGACATGACGAACAGGAATATATATGGTTTAGGGGTGGGGACCTCGACCATTTACAAGATATTGGGACTTTCTCAAATGGCAGGGGTTGGGGGATGACCCCTGGGGACTAACCCTGTATATCATTCAAACCATCTTTGCATGATAAACCAGAATATATATGATTTAGGGGTGGGGATCTTGACCACTTACAACATATTAGAACATTGGGGGTGGGGGGGAACCCCTGGGGACTGATCCTATACGTCATTCAAATATTCGAGACATGACGAACAGGAATATATATGGTTTAGGGGTGGGGATCTCAACCATTTACAAGATATTAGAACTTTCTCAAATGGCAGGGGGTGGGGATGATCCCTGGGGACTAACCCTGTATATCATTCAAACCATCTTAGCATGACAAACCAGAATATATATGGTTTAGGGGTGGGGATCTTGACCACTTACAAGGTATTAGATCTTTCTTAAATGGCAGGGGGTGGGGTGACCCCTGGGGACTAACCCTGTATTTCATTTAATGTGCTTTATCATTTAGAACATTTTCAATTAAAAAGATTGTGTCTATCACAAACGGTTTTTAAATTTATAATCATTTGAAAATTTAAAAAAATAAAATCCCATAGGGTTCTATAGTAAAACCCTCCTTTCTTTTCGCCCCTTAAAGTACCTCTTTATAAACCCTATTGCACAAACAAAACCCTGATTGCACCACTAGACATGTTAGTCTAACATATTGTGAAACCCTAAGTTAATCTGACCATCGGTTTTGGAGAACGGGTGCGGACAAGTTCAAATTTAAAAGCAGCGGAAGAGGAAGAGGAATAATAATAATAATAATAATAATAATAATAATAATAATAATAATAATAAGAACTGAGCAAAAACAATAAGTCTTCCTAAACTTCGTTTGGGAGACTTAAATATACAGTAAATAAATGTGTATGTTACAATGAATTCTGTTTGGTAGTAAATTGTTTTAAGATGAATCTTTTTTAGTTGAATATCTTTTTTTCCTTGGAAATGTTAATGCAATTTTATTGTTCTATAACTGTTCAAAACTAAACTTTTAAACAACAAAGCAGATAATGTAAGTATCAATATATGTTTAGTTATGGTCCACTTTTTGGCAATTCAGCACAGAACATAGTCATTATTGTGGTTTTAATATCTTTAGATATTTAATAGAACTTCAATTCATTGACTGAGTGATGAAAATAATAACTAATCTGACTTTTGTCTTTGAATTTATTCTGGTCTTGTTTCTGTGTTTCCTCCTTTAATTCTAAGTGATGAATTTCAATCCTTCTGAAAAAGAACCAATAAAATCCAAAGTTATGGATAATAAAAAATTGTTTGCATACATGTAGCAATAACATATGATTTTCAATAAAAATAGCTATGCAGTATGGATTTTACTGATGGTTGAAGGTTGTCCAGTGTCATCAGTTGCTAACCTCCTACATCCTTTGGTCTCTGATGGAGAGTTGTCAAATTAGCAACATACCACATCTTCCTATTCTAATATCATATAACAATCAACTTATGTATTCTTCTTTATAACATTTGGGTATTTTCCCCAGTTATATATATATATATCAATGTTAAAACTTTAGGCAATTACAATAAAATTCCATTTTTCACAAGAATTTGCAATATATTATACAGAAAGCCAACAATAGAAACAGCACTTCTTTAAGCTTCTGACGTTTTGAAAGAGTTCCACTTGTGTTTTATTTCAATTAGAAAATACATTGAACTCTTTGGACATGTTGGAAATTATAACATTGATACAAAAAATTATATTGGTTTTTTTATCTTATTTTTTGTGTTGTTCGGTTGCTGTCTTTTTATATATGATTATACATATATCCTAAATCTTCTTTTTTTAAAACTTAATCATTAATAGTAAAAATGGGATATTTTTTATTTTGATAATCTCAAAACATTATTATTCTATCAAATAACTTATTTCCAAGTTCACAAAACACAAATGTGTCAGATATTAAATTTAAGACATGTATAAACATGATCAACAAGCAGTTGACAGGATGTCATACAAAAATCTCACTAATATTAAACTTTCACAAAAACTCCATACTCAGCGAGTACTATTAAAGTTCTTTATAGTACAGGACAAATTCCTAGTACAGGACACCATGCCTGGCAAACACTAGCATGTGTCAATGTCTAGTCAATCATGTAATCAGGCTCAAAATCTTAGTTTGGCACTGAATTTAAAAACTCAACACATAATGAACATGTGTATGAAATTCAACTTCATGGTAAGCTATGTACCTTAACCTAAGAATGTACTATAATTTCACTATATGACATTTCTATGTTCAGTGATCCATAAAATCAGGGTAAAAACAGTAAATGTGGTGTATAATGTATAAACAAGAGTGCACACGCTGAAATGTTGCGCCTTCTTTACTAATCATTGATATCATGTTGATAGTCCTAAATATAAAGCTTTACTACAACTATCACATAAACTCAACATGATCCAAGAAAATGAATACAAGGTCATATAAACCTGGCAAGAAATATATGTACACCTTACAATTATTCAATATACTAAATACAGTTGACCTATTGCTTATAGTTTCTAACATTGTCTTAGAAGCAGACTTAACCAAGAAAACTAAACAAATTGACCAATGAACCATGGAAATGAGGTGAAGGTCAGATGAACCATGCCAGGCAGACATGTACAGCTTACAATCCTTCCATACAACACATATAGTTGACCTATTGCTTATAGATTAAGAAAACAGACCAAAACACAAAAACTTAACACTGAGGAATGAACCGTGAAAATGAGGTCAAGGTCAAATAAAACCTGTGAGACTGACATGTACATCATAAAATGTTTCCATACACCAAATATAGTTGACCTATTGCATTTAGTATTAGAAAAAGAAACCAAAACTCAAAAATTTAACTTTGACTACTGAACCATGAAAATGAGGTCAAGGTCAGATGACACCTGCCAGCTAGAATGTACACCTTACAATCATTCCATACACCAAATATAGTAGACCTATTGCATACAGTATAAGAAAACAGACCAAAACACAAAAACTTAACTATAACCACTGAACTATGAAAATGAGGTCAAGGTCAGATGACACCTGCCAGTTGGTCATGTACACCTTACAGTCCTTCCATACACCGAATATACTAGACCTATTGCTTATAATATCTGAGATATGGACTTGACCACCAAAACTTAACCTTAAATATAAAAAAGAAGATGTGGTATGATTGCCAATGAGACAACAACTCTCCACAAGTGACCAAATGACACAGAAATTAACAACTATAGGTCACCGTACGGCCTTCAACAATGAGCAAAGCCCATTCCGCACAGTCCGCTATAAAAGGCCCCAAAATGACAATGTAAAACAATTCAAACGAAAAACTAACGGCCTAATTTATGTACAAAAAATGAACGAAAAACAAATATGTAACACATAAACAAAACGACAACCACTGAATTACAGGCTCCTGACTTGGGACAGGCACATACATACAGAATGTGGCGGGGTTAAACATGTTAGTGGGATCCCAACCCTCCCCCTAACCTGGGACAGTGGTGTAACAGTACAACATAAGAACGAACTATAAAAATCAGTTGAAAGAGGCTTAACTCATCAGATGGATAAAAATACAAATACTACAAATACAAGTGGACGTGGCCGGGTACTTGTACATCCAAACAATAAAAAGACACTAAGTACAGATCTGAGAGTACTCGCAGTTACTGACAGCTAGTACAAAACCACTAACAACTAAAAAAAAATCATGCATCTAAGACTAAGTTCTTGTTCACTGATCCATGAAATGATGTCTAGGTCAAGTGAAAATTCTCTGACGAGCATGAGGACCTTGAAAGGTACGCACATACCAAATATAGTTATCCTATTACTCATAATATGAGAGAAATTAACATTACAAAAAATCTGAACTTTTTTTTCAAGTAGTCACTGAACCATGAAAATGAGGTCAAGGACAATGGACATGTTTCAGACAGAATTCGTATCATGAGGCATCTATATACAAAGTATGAAGCATCCAGGTCTTCCACCTTCTGAAATATAAAGCTTTTAGGAAGTTAGCTTACGCCACCGCCATAGCTGCCACCGGATCACTATCCCTATGTCCAGCTTTCTGCGACAAAAGTTGCAGGCTCGACAAAAATACATGAACATTT